CCAAGCTGAATAGTAGTTGTCATGTCGGTTAGAAAAGTTCACATTGATATCTTGCCTTTCTTGTAATACATTTCTGACTCTGACCCATCTTCGACGCTCGCTAAGCTTTACAGTCATATGGTAATGAAATCCACTTGTTACTCTGTGAATTTCTTGTGAACATACCCAGTGAATTACCTGGATATCACAGGCTGTGAATGCGTCTAGCACAGCCAACACAAAACTTTCGCGAGTTGGAAATTTTTGCGCATTTACTTGGCTGTAAGTTATTAAATAAACACGTCGAACTTGACGGCTTACAAGCAAAGGTTCTTCTTCTAATTCTATCTCCGCCATTTCTTCACATGCAACTGCTAAAATGAGCCAGAATGTGAATGTACATTCTATTTCGCAATCTTTATTTGACATTTGAATGGTTTCATCGTGATTTTGTGACAAATTTATGAATATATTATGTTCCGTCTTCAATGATTACGTGCCTCATAAACACAATCTCTAAAAATATTATTAAGTAGTTACTCTTAAAAACTAATTTTCCTTTACACAAAGTGTATGTGATATATATTTGACGCATTCTATTTTTTATATAATATTTAGGCGTGTTTACCCACTTTTCGCGCTCTTTCTTCTGACCGTTACTAACGTGACTCTTGACGACATTCCGATGACAACGCTTCAAGACAATCTATTGCAAAATAAACGGAACACCTTTCCCCATTTCCCCACTCCAATGTTGAATACACGTTAACCGTATTTCCAGGACGATTTTCAACCGATTCAATCTTCAAATAAGCGCAAAACAACATTGGAAAGAGGGAGGGGAGGTCGTAGTAACACACTCGTGGGGGTGTTTCACGTTATTTTGCAATAGATTGTAGCTCTGAGAGCCCAGTTTGTTTATACCTGAATAGCTATACTACTTTCACTATTACTAGATGTACTACAATCATTAATATTACTGTAGCCACCACTAATATATAACCTCCCGACGGTATTTTCACTAGGCGTCTCTTCTCTTTCAAGAAGTCTCTCATTGTTTCTCTTATTATCATCTTCAAATATATCGCTATAAACTATCCTTGAGTTTTCCGCGCTTATTTGTCTTTCAAGTCTTGTTTTCCAAGTCTTTTTTTCTGTTGGACTTGTCAAATCTAAAAATGTTCTTGTTTGTAAAGCTGGTGGAAGGTCTTCCAAAGCAACACCAAGATTTATAACAATAAGAGATGAGTCTCCTTGGTGAGCGAGTCGACCTAACGCCATATTTAGTTCTTCCTGGCAAAAATTACTGGCCAGGAAATGTTTCCAGGCAAGTACTTCGACCAACGCCTATCTTTGATGCAATCATCACTGATCGTAAGTTAATTTATCTTCTTTATCTTATATTTTATTCTAATTTATCTTTTAATTTTTATTATTTTTTAACCAATGTTTCATTGTTTGCAGCTCCTTATGGAGTCCGTGAAGGTGTTCGCAGTCAAATATCTGAAAAAGAACTTACTGAGAATAGGTAACTATAGTTTTGAAACAAATAAATTCAAAGTCCTTAAGATAGTTTTCTCTCATATCCTCAACTTCCGGTTTCGTCCAATTTCCTCCTCTTTTCGGAGGGACAGGAAGCCCGACAAAAAGAGAGGCTGCAAAGGAGACCACCTTAAAATAGGATTGAGTAATCAGTTCTAGCGCACTTGGTTAAAGTTCGCACCGCATTGAGGGTTAGATAAGGGTTGGTTTAGGGTTCTGTTGGGGTCAGATTTGGATTGGTCGTTTTGGGGTCCGACTGGAAATGGATCAGTATGGTTGGGCTAGATGTGACCCGATCATGATTGAATTGGGACGTATTAGGACGGATTATAGTCGTATTCGGTCGAAATAAGGTCGGATTAGTGTTATGATAGGGTCAGATTAGGTTCGTATTTGGTCGTAATCGGGTCCGATTAGTGTTAGGGGTTAGGGTCAGATTACGGTCGTATTCGGTCGTAATAGGGTAGGATCGGTCGGATTAGTGTTATGGTCAGATTAGGGTCGTATTCGGTTGTAATAGGGTAGGACTAGGATTAGGGTCGTATTCGGTTGTAATAGGGTCGGATCGATCGGATTAGTGAGCGTTCATGTAATTTCCCTCATTCTGTAATTGTTATTAGTCACCATTAATAATCAATATTGTCATCGCTCACCAGATCAGAAGCAGATCTTGGTTATCCATCGATACACCTTGGACGGTTATCAGATATTATACTAAGTTTACTGCACTTCTCGTCACAGTATMTCTSTTTAAATGGTCGGCTTGTATTTTGGTTACCTGTCTACAAACCAAGGTAGGTTCTTAACCACTGCCAGATGCTAGTTTCAATTCTTAGGTTCCACAATGAAAAGAGCCGTAACTCTAAAAGTGTGACCACCGATAATTTGTTCACAACGATTCTCCATTTCTGGTCAAAGCAGCGTTCAGGCTAATATGCAAAAGTTAACATTAATCCTGTAAAAAGAATCGAGAATGACTTCGTGGTAGTCTTGCTTTGGGGATCGCATAAAATAATGAATCACTGGATTTCCGGGCTTTTTTATAAAAACTCGCAAATCAGAGAAATAAAAGACAGGGAGGGGTGCGGGGGCTCTCAGGAGGGAGTCCACCCCACAAAAATTAGCATTAAGATACCAAATAAGGAAAATATTGAAGGATACAGACATGAGGAGGGGGTGCGCACCCCTTGTACCCATCAGCTGGATCCCCCCCTGAAATGTGTAATGGTGTTTACAGCAACAACAGTCAGTGATAGATAGTCCCTGAGTGTTGCCAAAAGTTTTATTAAAAAGGGTCTTTTCTTATGTCTGTTCTTAATACATCCAGCAAATGTTTGATACTTCTTCATTCTGCAGCATGAAACAAAGTGTACAAAACATTCTACCCTATTTACAGAGATTTCTCTGCTCTTTTCAAAAATGTTCAAACAATAAAAGTGTACTTGTTTCGTTCAGTTATTCTGACGCCAAAGTCCCTCATCATCCATGCTTTCGACTTGTGGCAAACAGCGAGCAAAACTTATTCACGAATATCTCCAGACGCCTTCTAACCATGGAAAAGACGCACGAGTACAATGTGAGTAAAATTTGCCTATCTCTTTTATTTGTGACACTTTAATTTGTTTCCTTCGTCTCTCCATCATGTGGCGCCTAATCAAGTCTGAAATTGCTTGGTACTTCAAACCTGCAGTAGGCATGGCATAATTGTCATCAGTGGACAGTGAGTGAGCTATTTCATGTAACTTTTGTAAGTTGGTAGAGTTATGCCGAAATTTTGGAGTAGGTCCACTCTCAGGCCAAGTGGCTTTGACATGATTGATTATCCTTGTCTTTCTGAAAAGAGTGAAGAGCACAGATATAGTGTTAAAAGTGACAGACCACTTAACCAAGTATCACGATTGATTTACCTTAAATAGTCAACTTACTTTGTGTTATATAAAGATCTCTCTTTGCTTGTCAGCAGGTCTTTTTCTTTATTTGTTAGAAMTCTGTCTATTTCACTAAAATCACACTTCTGCTTCTTACTAGCAACATCTATTTGCTGATCTAAAAGACATGCCAAACAGTTATATTCAATACACAATGTTCAAAACCCTTGACAATMAAACTTGTAATGTGAACTGCTTCTACTGTAATAAAAGAAATGAGTGCTAACCAGCWATAATAAATATGATATCGGGTTAATTGTTGGTAAGTAGTCCGTTWAAAATACTTGAAATCATAAATTTAAGTCGGCATTTAGCGATTTATATTATAGCCATCTGTAAATTTCAATAAAGTTTTGCATTTTACAGGATTTAAACGTGGAAATGTCGCAGTTTACAGTTTTTTCTAYTCAGAATCTTTGAACGCTTTTATATCCCAAAATATTTCATCTAAAGACCTATTATATTTTTTCATAATCTTACAAGTCTCAATATGTCCTATTCTGTGATATAGAAAAGCAAATGCATGTTTTATAGTATGCTCTCGATAAATAATATAGAACAAATTTCTTTGTTTATAGAAATTCCTTTGGATAAAGACAACGATGACAACAACTTCATCGACAATCATGCTTCAGATTATGGAGATTTAAACTTAAATCTATTAAGTGATGATGATTCAGTTAATTATGAGGGTGCTCTGCCGGAAACCCGCGAACCAAACGTTGTTGATGAAGAAGCCATCGCTCTTTTAAGTACGCCATAATAAAGAGTGTTTTTCAAGCCATAGAACTAAATAAAGAATCAGGCGAATCTTTAAGTAATTTTGAATCCCTTCTGTCATTTGCACGACATATGTATTGTCTAGGCAAAAGTCTGGATGAGGATGACCCAAACGTAAAAGAATTGTGGCCAAAAACATGGATTGAAGCTAGAAAGTATCTGTTTGAACTAGGATATGTTGATGCAAAAGAATATTATATATGCTTAAATGATTCTCATCCGATACACTGGGACATTATGGACTCAGAAAATGAAGTATGTAGACACTGTCAAAATCCTGGAGAAATTAAGAGGGATTTTCCCGTAGGGTCACCTATGACTTGCAAAATAATTTTTTATCAAATCCCTCAAAACGTGCATGTAGAACCGGCTTTTGAAGCTGAATCCAATGGTATGAGTTTTATCTCGATCAGATAAATATTTAGGGAGCATGGGGCCAAAATGTGAAAAATTACGTCACTTCCGGCTTTCGAAGGTCGATTTAGTGCACCTCAGAAAAAGTGAAAAATCACAAAATTGAGAACGTATTTTATCAAATAAATTAGCAAGATGAAAAGTACATATATAAGCGACTATTTAGAGCTGTTTGTGAACTCAGAAAGTTAAAAATGAATATTTTATCGATTTTTTAATTGTCCTTCATGATTTTAGTAGTTTTCANCCAAAGTCCCTCATCATCCATGCTTTCGACTTGTGGCAAACAGCGAGCAAAACTTATTCACGAATATCTCCAGACGCCTTCTAACCATGGAAAAGACGCACGAGTACAATGTGAGTAAAATTTGCCTATCTCTTTTATTTGTGACACTTTAATTTGTTTCCTTCTCCTTATAGCACAAATATAGTAGTCGTTGCTGGTTCAGTGTCAGAAATCTCTCTTTTTGAATGCTCAGTTTTACGGCCGTCCAACACTCTGTGCGTTCGGGCGTGATTCTCTCTCCCTCACAACACGTGCCTACCCCTTAAGTACTCTCTGCCGAGCCCCATGGGACAAGCCCATAACCCTTTGCTACATATTACTGATTAAAATTGCAGTTAAATTTTTGATATATAACTCGCGCTCTGGTTGGCTGGCGACCGTGTTTCTAAGCTTGCTTCTCTCGTGTTTTTCAACTCCAACCGTGTTTATATCAAAGGACAGAGACGCGCGCGTCGTTTTATAGTTTTTAAGTAAAGACTTTTAGATGTTTTTCTTTTTTGATTTGAACATCAAGGAAATATTGCATATCACCAGACTGATAGATAAAACTGCGAATAAAAATTAAATCAACATTCAAAAATCGTATTACGTCATCAGAACTAAGACCGAAAGGGAGCTTGGGAAATGATAATTAGCAAACGATTAAGTATGATTAGTGTAAGATTATTTGCAAATAACAGTGTTATAGTCTCTAGGAAACTTTTACAGTGAATATCTACTTTGCTATGAGTAATACTATACATGAGTTTTAAAGTACCCAGAATCCTCTTCTATCTTAGCTTTAGTCATGTGACCGTGTTGCAGTCCGACGTCTTTTTTCCATTAGATGTATCCACGAACATTCTTTCATTTAATGAAAATTGCGTTGATTTAGTCGTTCAAGCTTAAGAGGGATTTTCCCGTAGGGTCACCTATGACTTGCAAAATAATTTTTTATCACATCCCTCAAAACGTGCATGTAGAACCGGCTTTTGAATGGTATGAGTTTTATCTCGATCAGATAAATATTTAGGGAGCACGGGGCCAAAATGTGAAAAATTACGTCACTTCCGGTTTTCGAAGGTCGATTTAGTGCACCTCAGAAAAAGTAAAAAATTACAAAATTGAGAACGTATCTTATCAAATAAATTAGCAAGATGAAAAGTAAATATATAAGGGACTATTTAGAGCTGTTTGTGAACTCAGAAAGTTAAAAATGAATATTTTATCGATTTTTTAATTGTCCTTCATGATTTTAGTAGTTTTCAAGTGTATCCTACATAAACCTCTGTATCTCCACTGGTATATGTCCTAGCCCAAAGCCACTGCATATGAGGAAAGACGAATAGCCATAGTTGAGTTTCAAGAAATAAAATTTTTGGGAAATTCATAAACACAGTCTGTGGAGTGGTGTGTGGCGAGCCCAATTTCGGTCATATTTGACCTCATTAACTTAGTGGTTTGTGTACATTTGTGAT